TTCGAATTCAAGTAATGCAAATCTATAAGAATTCAAAAAAAAACCGATAAAGGGTGACACCTTTTAATTCATCATATGTAAATAAGAGCTGAAAAATTGTACTTCATATCATCGAGTATAATTAATAAGATTCTAATATATCTCACATTATCCCGTATTATCCTTGCAAAAAATCTAAGATCTGCCATTTTCCTCAAATAAATCATTAAAAAATTCGGAAGCAGAGAAAAAACTTATGACATTCTCGATGGATGAGTCTTTTCTTATAACAGTGGGAGAATCAAAGTATTTTACGATCCAATCTACCTCAATTACACGTTTGTGCGGTTTTACAAGGTACAAAAATACAAATGATCTTTAATTCTTCCTTTCTCCCCTACTTATGTAGTTGATATGTCAATTCAAACTGTTTTACTTACGGGTAAGATTTTTTAACTAATTTATCCCCTTTTTTAAATTTCGCAATTTTCGATTTTAATTGAACATTATGAATATCTGTTGATAGCTGTTGCAATTCTGTTTCGGTGACATCATGAGGAAGAAATTTGATAAATAGTTTTCGTGCATCATCTGTAAATACGAGAAGAAATTGTAGCATCAAATGAGGTTTTTTATCGAGAATAAATTTACCTTGTTTATTACTGATAGATACTTTTTCTGTTGTATCGTCATTCGTGTCTAATTTACGTTTTGTACCAGTTGTTGGTTTCTGTTCAGTAGTCACGGACGATTTGACTGGTAGCTTTGCATTTGAAACAACTACTGGTTTTTCTTCTTCTTCTTCATCATCATCATCATCGTCATCATCATCATCGCTATCAGTATCATCCTTATAAAAAAATCAACGTAGATCATTACAAATATACGAAAAAATATGCGAAAACCTACGTCATCACTTGTTTTCTTATTCGTTTGTTTTACTGCGGCATTTTTCACTTTATTGGTTGGCGTTACTGATATAGGAACTGTTTGTTTTTTTTGAACAGTTGTTGTTGGTGGTGTCGGTGTAACACTTGATTTTTGCGGAGTTTTCGATGGTTGTTGTGGTATTTTTTTCGATGATGTTTCCATTTTCTAACAATTTACAAATTAAACTTAAATTTTATCATAATATATAAAAAGGTGTAACATTTTCTAACTCATGTAGTTTATGATATCCAGACTAAATACCAACATTTCTAGTTGACTTACAACCTTCCTTATTCATTAGGGTATACCTCGTCATCTTCTGATGTTTCATCTTCGTCATCGTCTGTTTCGTCCTGCAAAAAAGAACTGTCGAATAGTCATCAAATAAAATTTTTAGCAAATAATCTTTACATACATCATCGTCATCATCATCATCATCATCTGATTCTTCATCATCATCCAAATCTAAAGTGGAATGATAGATATTTTATTTGTTAGTAACTATGAATTATTTTTCAACGAAGTTTAGTCTAACGGTAGGTCGAATCTATTAATTTGAGATGCTCTAGATGTAACTGACAGTTATTTTACCGTGTTGTGCTGGTGCCAAACTTGTTTTATTTTTGCTGCTATTCATTAATGTTTTTACGGATGGTGTTGCTTTGCTCAAAGATGAATTTTGTTGTTTTACTTTATCCGTCGTCACTGAAGGTGTTGCTTTGCTCAAAGATGAATTTTGTTGTTTTACTTTGTCCGTCGTCACTGGAGTTGGTGCTGATGTTTTTCCTGAAAGAGGTGTAGTCGACTGAAAGAAGAGATTAAGATTAACTTATTTTAAAACAATCGAAAACAATCACACTCACAGCCTTTTTCAATTGTGTTTGAACTGGCTTTTTATCGTTATCTGTATCCACCTCATCTGATTCATCCAGCTAAAATGAAAAAACACTTATGTGCTTACTTTTCTAACTAAACTAAATACTCACATCACTATCATCGTCAGACACTTCGTCTTCGTCTTCATCTTCATCATCGTCTAAAAACATTAATAACAAAAAGATCACTAATATTTTATAGTGTATGAATTTACACATCGACTCATATTAGAAAAGAGAATCAAAGACAAATATGAAGAGATTTTTGTTTTGTTCATTCGACAAGACTGAAACTTGATAAGGTTCCAACATACTGAATGTTCTCAAAGATCTATATAGTTGTTGAAAATGGTTTAGAGAGAATAAGTATATCGCTCAAAAATGTGCACGTTATTAAAGTAAAATAGAAAATAAAAGTCGATTTTTAAAAATGATGAGAGAGTAAGTAGACTACGTACCATCTTGAAGCTGTTTTTGCTTCTTTGGCTGATTTTCATTTTCTTCTTCGTCATCTTCATCGTCTTCGCTCTCGTCTTCGTCATCACTCTCCTGAATTTTTTTTCTTTTCAAATCGTTACTTGCATTTTTATTGTTTACAAATGTTGATGGGCTTTTTTGTTTATTATCCGCATTATGGAATCCACCTCGACCACCCCCTCGGTTCATTTTACCCGCTGCGCCAAATTTATTCATTTGTCCTCCACTATCGCGTGGCTTTCTTGGTTCAGTACAATCGCGTGATAAATGGCCAGGTTGATTACAATTATAGCATACACCTAAAAGGAGACATGTGAATTTGCATGTAAGAGAACAGCACAATAATTTTCTACGTTTAATGTTTACCTGGTGATGAACCTCCTCCTCTCCCACCCCGAAAACTCCCTCTGCCCCTTGATCCACGACCTCCACGATCATCTCTAAAACCACCCCGTTGGAATCCGCCACGTCCACGGAAACTACCACCTCGTGAAAAATTGCCACGTGATCTAAATTGTCCTTCAACCATGATTGTTAATTTATACTATTTTTATCTAAAATGTAACAAATGTCTTTATACGTTTTCTCCACAATCGCAAAGGGTTTACAAATCATAAAGATAAATAAACAAATAAACAAAAATAGTTGATGTATTACTAGTGACTCATTGTAAGCAGATCTCATACATACTAGTGTGAAATACACACTAAGAGTTCCAAAAAAGCAAAACTATTCTGCACACATTTTTCATGCAAAAAAGAAGTTCAAAACAACGACAATAACTATTTAATTTAGCAAATACAAGATTAAAATTTAATCTCGTATTTGCTGAATTAAATAGTTGTGGAATACATGTCTTCTTTTAATCATTATGATTAAAAGAAGACATGTATTCCACGTTACTAACGTAAATATAAAATTCCAGAGAATTTACTCTCTTGAAGTGTATGACAAAAAAACGCCTATAGTTGATTGAATACATAGTTTCTTTAAGCTTTATTCTTATAGAATACAAGCAGAAATAAATCCATTATGGTGTTTTAAAACTTAAACGATCTGAAAACGAAATCAATTTGATACAAATACGAACTAGAACTGATGAAATTAAATTTATAGTAAACCGCTAGTAAACACATAACTGGCAAAAGCTTCAAAGTGGACATTTGTTCAGCAGCAGTAAAATACTCCATGAAAACACAATGCAAACTTAAAAAAATAATTCATAATTAGAAACGAATCGCCCACTATAGGTTGATAGAACTACGTTTTATTTTAACAATTCGTTCATTCATCACATTGAACGGCGCTATAATGTCTACACCAGGATGAACGTACGACAAAGCCAGATCAGTCCAACTAAACGTTTGCTGGTTGATGGGTTACCAGTGTAAGCAGTTTCAGTTGAAAAACTACGATGTTCGAGTGATGTAAAAGAACAAAAATATCCATTGCTATTGTTAACGATATTTATTTCTTAATAACAACTAATCAATAATTTTTTTAATCCAAAAACGAAGCTCTTTCGAAAAATTTAGAAGTAGTTCAGCATCGTCATTAATCAGGTTAGGAGCAAAAATCCGGTAAATCAGATAACAAATTTCTAGATACCAACAAGTACATAGTCAAGAACGAACTGATTCATTGAAATAATCACTATGAGGTAAATGATCGGACTCGACCAATTTGGAAAAAACCGCACTGCGAAAATAAATGATAATTAGATTGACATGCGAGGGAAAATGTACTGAACTCAGAGTCAGATCAAGAAATCTAAGGCATATCAAACTGATCTGGTCCTTGATCCAAAGTCATCTCCACATAAAAAGAAAATCAGATCACAATGAGCTCCAACCAAAAAATGGTATCCTACAATTCCATACAACGCGTGCCTGTAACTATCTCTTCTGAATTTTTCTAAAAATTAGAGAAGAAATCAACATTAGGAAGGAAGCCAGAGAAATTTTGATTCAAATTATCTGATAAATTTATAAAATGCTGAAATAGCTATCATCCGTTGTGTTTTACAGATATTACGCATTCTGCAAACGCGATAAAATGAATTTTTCTCATCATCTTCTGATTAATCAATCTCACATTTACTCTAAAGGTTAATTTATACCAAATTTCTTCGTATAGCTTGGTTATGGTTTGGCTTATCTTCCTTTGACCGAGTGATTGATAGATCCAAACAACAAACGCACATGCTCGATTGATCGAAAATGGCGAAACAGCCAATCATCAAGTAGCCCTTGTTCAGCCTTCGAGTACGACGAAAATCATAAGAAATAGTAAAGAAGCAGCGGTCTGTACACATAATAATGCATTTCTATGAGATAACTATATGCAATGAGTTATATTTGTGAGGGCCGTATTACATGCTCTTTAATGCTTGCGGCCTCTATCATAACCATCGTTCATTATGGTACTGCAACGTTTTATTTCATCAGTTTAATTTTCTCTTCACTTATGTTATAGCGCCTGAAAAGAGGTGGCATCTGTCCAGTTTCCGTGCTGCAACAGACATAGGCACGTTTGTCACCAAGATCAGATTTACAAATTTCAAATTGAGATCATTCAAAAAACGAAACGTTTTACTTGCTTTTCTGTTGACAGTCTAACAAAAATGCTACTTTTCGTGATTAATCTCGTTCTTCATAAATAATGTAATAATAATTCTATCTAGAGAACAAATTTCCGGCTAAGAAATTGATCTGACTTGCAGGAAAAGTCAACCTGGCAGAACTTTCTCAGTTTTTTGCTATGTTTAAGTTGAGTTTTGTCAGTAACGACAAACTTTGGAAATAATGAGCTTTAATACAACAATAAATCAGGGCAATTATATATGAAACAGTTCTAAATTCTGTTGTATAATAACTATCTGACTTATCTGACTAACTATCCGGCAATTAAAGTAGAGGAATATCGATCGACCGATCGAAATCTATTTTAAAAACGCTGCCTGAGTCATCCTGTATATTTGAACTATCCTATAGCAGATATTTTCTGAGGATGTTCAACTCAATTGATGAATTTGTGATGATTAGATCAAATAGCATCATTATTTTTTTCACTGAAATTCTCACTTTCACACGTGAGAATTTTTTTTAATTTTTTTTGCAGTCTCTTTTACTGTTGTTCCAATATTGTATGAGTTTTTACTTTTAAGATAGAAGAAATCGTATTTCTGGCAAACCGAATGAATTTATTTGTTTTGGAATTTGTTGAAAATGAAATCCTATTTGATCATGTGTAAATCCAAAACTTTCATCCATTGGATTGTACCGAAAAAGTTGCCTTATATATCACAGAATTAGTCGACAGTCTGCATATAAACTAAACGTGGCTTTCAACAAGTTTTTAACAAATTCCAAAACAAATAAATTCATTCGGTAATATTACCGTGTAAAATAACCAATGTATGTCAACGAGGTGATTGTGGTATGCAGTTATATGAAGTAGTAACAATATACGGTTTAATTAAAGATTTATATCAAACAGAAGTTTTCTATGATCTTAGTAGTTCTAGTTTTGCTGAGCTGCGCGCCTTGAATGTTTTAATTTACCTCGCATCACATTTATACAAGCTTGTCAGTTTTATACTGATTTCAGGTCTTTTGAAAGATGCAAATGTGCAGGCACTTGTGATACTAACAGATGCCCGTGTAAAAAACGTAAAACATTATGTTGTACTAAATGTCATAAAGGCAAAACATCGCAATGTAAAAACTGTTGACAAATTTGAATAAAAATAAGCACATACATATTCTAGTACTTTATGCAATTTCTTAGCATGAATTTAAATTCTGAACTCAACTAGTCCAGTTTGTCAGTTCACATTGGAATTCTGATCTCATCCAGTTTAGTTTAGAATTCTAACTTCAACTAGTTCAGTTAGGTACCATTCGTATCACAACTAGTTGACGTTAGAATTCCAATCTCAATCAGTTGAAATCAGGATTCTATTCTCACCTAGGCGAATTCCGAATTCCTCTAGATTCCAATCTCAACTCCGACATATACATACCAAAAATAGAGAGAACTTTATCAGTTTATTATCAAGTAGATTGAATTCATCCTTGTCAAACTGAGTATGTCTTCGATCGTACGTTGTATTTCTTTGATCATAATATTCAATTGATCACTCATCACGTCATTCTCTAGTATTTCTTCATCACACTACTTAATTTGACGAAAATAGACTCCTCGTGAGAATGGCGCTTGTGCGAGAAACTATAGTTTTTGTTTAGACTGCTAAATATTGTAGAAATAAATTTTGTGTATATGAATATTTAGTTTATTACATATTGGATAAAACGATCGACTACTAGTAAAAACGGCAACAATCCCAACAAACTCCTCGTACGTAAAAGAAATCAAGCACCATTCAAACAAGATGTTCAAAAAAATTTAGGAAATACCGATATTAAGGGTAAAAAGGACAGTTTTTTTCTGTCGCTTTCAGTATTTTTCGTATATCTCGAGAAGGAAAGCATATTTTTCGAAACAAAAATCTTTCATTCTGAGATAGGGTCTGGAGTATCTGTGGTAAAAATTTCGACTCGATCGGACCATTTTTTCGATGGGTCATAATGTGACTGGATGAAAACTGGAGTTTTTCAGGAAACCCATAGGAGATCATGTCACAAAATTCGGAGCAAAAATACATCGATGTTCTTCTTCTCTCTCTGGTATAAATTCGAATTCGATCGGACGTGTGCTCTGCATTTGGCAACACGGTGAAAAAAGATGGGGGAGGATACCCTTAAACATGTCTTAGCTAGTATACAGTAAAAATCTCAAGAAATTTAGTCGAATCTCGATAAGATCTTAGGTCTAAAATTTTTGTAAGTTTAGGTAAGAATCTGTTACAATCTTACTAGGAACCATCATGACTTTTAATAAAATTCATTCATGATTTCCTAAAAAGTTTTAAATATTTGTCTAAATGGTGCTAGTTTTCTTGTACATAGTGGAATTCTCATTTAAGACTGCGATCCTACGCTGTTAAAGCTCAAATAGAACGTCTGAAGTATAAGAAGAAATTTTATGTTGTTGGACGACCTCCTGGATATTGGCTTGTGATTGCACAGTATGCCCTATGAATAGTTGTTGAACCATTTTGAGAAAACTAGTGTATATAAAGTTCGGAAGAAAAATGAGAACGTAGAACTTAACTATGTTTTCAATGCTATATTTATATACATAAATTGATTCTCTCACTAATAGTGTATATGAAGCTTGTGCAGTGGATCATTGTCATAATTTGATTGGTCAGTGATTACTATGAGCACTTAACCAAGTCGGCAAATTACTAAACGTTAAAAAGTTGTAACTATATATCACAGATTAAGTCAACAGTCTGCATATAAACTAAAAACGTAGGTTTATATGCATATGCGATATATTCTTTCATGATCAAACATTATACACACTGGATGACTAATAAAGAGAGAAAAGAGATAATAATTAATTCAAATATTGTCTGTTCTATTATTGTTAAGTGGAATATCTTGTTAGTGTCCTTATAAATTCAGATAAGGATCCTTGCAAATCTTTTACATGTATTTTTATTTCAAAATTCTTGCAAAGAAATTTTTGCTGTGAATTCAGGCAAGAAACCATTTCATGACCCTTAGCTGATTTTATGACAAAAAGTTTCTTTGCAAGAATCTTGCAGAGGAAAAATACATATATGCTCCGTTTGTTTTCTATATATATGTAAAAGAGAGGCCAAACCTGATGATACCAACTCAGATACATATGAAGATTCGATTGACTCGCCACAAAAAAAATATTTTGACTGGTCTACCAAGACAAACTTGCAGATTTTTGTCTGAAATGCTAAGAATATATATAATATATTTCCTATAGGTACAATGATACGAACATTATTTTTCTTCTATCACAAGAAAAATTACCATAAATATTTGTAGGTAGATCTGGACTGGTAGAATCATTAAAATTCTGACTTAATCATGATTATTGCATAAAGGCTCATTTTGCTTGTCATTCGCGTTTGACTATACTAAAAGAGAGTAGACATTGTCATGAAAAAGGACGATTGTACATCTCTGAAATAAGTTTGCCTTACTGTAACATTCATAAATACAAAAGGGTATGAACAAAACGTTTTCAAAATGAAATTATTCTGGTCATCAGAGTTAGCTCTGATCATGCAGCATCAGTAGTTTTTTTTTAAGATCAACTATTAAGTGTGTCATTTGTTTATTTTGTTCTTTGTCTTATATAGTATTTTTATACATGGCGTCGCCTTCAATTGCAACGAATTTGAGTTTGAGATTAACTCACAACATACTTCGTGTTAGTAATCCAAAAGAGTTAATCAACTTTTATATAGAAAAATTTGGAATGAAAGAAGGTGGAATAAGTCAGTCAGCATCAGAAACGTACAACATTTCCACTGTGGGCTATTTATCTAATCCAAAATCTGTTCAACTTGAATTTCATAACGTACCAAATAAATCGTATACATCGCAACATAAAAATGAAGGACGAGGTGTGTATTGGAAAATTGGAGTCACATTAAGAGATGTTGATCTGGCTGTAGATATTTTACAGAAGAAGAATGTTCACGTATCAAACGGTAAACAATTCGAAGATATCGGCTATCTGTGTCATTTGAGTGATCCAAATGATTTTACCATTGAACTATTACAACATGATTTTAAACAAAATTTTAGAAAGCCACAACCGGATACAAATTTTCCTGAATTAAAACAGCCAGCATGTATTGGACAAATAACATTAAATGTTAGTGATATCAAAAAAACATTAACATTCTACGAACAAATATTAGGAATGAAACTGTTATCAATACAAGATGTATCGCAGTACGGTTTTAAATTATATTTTCTTGCATGGACAGATGAAGAACCACCGAAAAAACGAGAATCAAATGATAAACGGGATAATTATACATGGGACTTGTACGATGCAACGCAAAATCGTGAATGGCTATGGAAACGACCTTACACAACAATTGAATTGAAACATGGTGGATCAGTAGAACCATTTGTCGATTTAAAAGATGGAGATGTCGGTTTTGAAGGTATTTATTTAATTGATAATGAAAACCATAACCATAATTCAATCGTCAAATTCGATGTTTTTCGAATTGTCCTTCAAAACTGATAAATAATGAGTAAAATTTAGAAAAAATATCTTCACTTTCTCGACAAAATCGTATCTAAATATTTTATCATTAGCGTCATTTTTTATTTAGGTTTGCGTATTACGTGTAACAATCTAACTTCATTTGAAACGTATATGGAATCAAAAGGTATACCTGTAAAAAATTCTTCACAAGGTTCAAATGGTCGCGAAAGAGTCATACGGGATCCCGATAATATACCAATATTCGTAACAGAAGATAAAAACGCGTGAAAGTCGCAAACTAACTGAAAATTTTTGTTTCATATTTCAGATTCTACTCTTTCTACTTATAGCCAAGAATGTTTTTAATTAATTTTGTTATTTTATTTGCAGTGACAAGAGGTATTCAATCACATTCGTTCTAAATATATTACAGTACATTTAGGGATTTCTAGATCGTAGGAAGTTATTAGTGATTGGGGATTTATGTTATCGACTAGTATACTAATTTAGAACCCCTGTACATAGACCGTTATTCTTCCCTATTCCCAATCGACATTTTGCTGTACGAGCAGAACAGAAGAATTATATGGATATTGGTAATTTTTTCTGTCTTGGCAAATTTCGAAAGAAAGACTAATATTTCACGTACAAAAAATACAGTACAAAAAACTCATTTTATATAAAACTAAAATTATTAACTCTGCAATCTAATCTAGTAGTTGAAAAGAAAACTAGCATAAAATAATAATTCTCTCTACAACTAAATTCTTGTCATAGGTCCGTGATGTATTGGTGTTCTTTTTACATAGTCGTTTGTTCGTAGTGATGGACTATAATTACTACTCGATAATTCATTACCTGTTTTTAATTGATCATTTGTTGATGTTGATGTAAATGTTGTTGGTTCTGTAGCGTGATGTGACTCGATGCTACAAGGTGATAAAGTAAATTTCATGCTATTGTTTTTTTCGGTTTCTTCATGAATGATGGTTAAACTGTCTTGTCTCGCTCGACTATTAACCATTTGAGCAATTTTTTCAAGTAAATCTTGCGTATCGTCTTCATCACTATCGTCCACGTACCCGATAATAAATCGAACGTTAGAATTTGTTCTTGGAATCGCTTCTTCTTCTTTCGTTAGCTCATTATCAGTAACAGTGGTATGCAAGTTTTCGTCATCATCGACCTCATGTAATCGTGGATCTAAATTTTGAATAACATTTTCATGCTTTTTCATGTCATTTCTCCAATCAAAACGTGATTGTGACGGATATTTTTCATTCTGTTCTTCATCATCTGAATATTCATCGAAGTCGATTTGTTCACTTTGCAAATACAATTTTCGAGTATAAACACGTTGATATCGATCAACTAAAACGGAAGCCAACATTCCTAAGACGGCAGTTCCGAACACGGCACACAAGCATGCAATACAACGACCAATAGCTGTTTTCGGATAAAGATCACCGTAACCTACCGATGTAATTGTAATTATTCCCCAATACATTGCTGTTGGTATACTGTCAAACATCTCTGATGAGTTCTCAGTAGGGGACATTGTTGTTGATGTACTGTCAAACATCATGCTAGTTCGTGGGTTCTCAGCAAAGTATAAGGCAGCTCCAAAGAGAAAAGCAAGTAATGTTAAAAAAGTGAGCATAATAGCAAAATCAGGCAACGATTCTTTGAACGTTGATGCTAAGACGCGTAATGTTTTAAAACCACGGCAAACACGATATAATTTGAAGACTCGTGCAAAACGTAATATTTTGAACAGTTCAATATATGTATTCGTATGCATTTCATCTTGTTTTCTGATTAATGTTATCACTAATGAAATATAATATGGGGCTAAAAAGAGAGCTACATTAATGAGATGAATTTAATTATTTACAATACTTACCAAAAGCCAAAAGATCAATCCAATTGAGCGCAGATTTAATAAAATCAATATATGATGGGCAACTAACAACCCGTAAAATGAATTCCAGCGTGAAAAATATCACACATATAGTATGAATAATGAAGAATAATAATGAATGAGACCTGGGTGAACAAATATCGTGAACTGGCTTTGAAAATGAAATGTTTTCACTCATCGGCAGTGATTGATTTTTATGACAAGTAGCCTGACGATGTTTTGGTAATGTCTCTAAGACAAAATGTTAACGTCAAAATTAATGAACGTGAATCAAAAGTTCTACTAACTTACCAATAGCGAGCGCCATGGAGGATAATAATATCATAATTAACGATAAAATATTAATAAATTTTGCTAACATTGAAAATTGTGGATATTCCATATTAGCCCATAAATGACGACGAAAATGATTTCGGGGCAAATGAATTTTTCGTATTTCTTTGATGTTTTCATCCTGACGTAATTGTTTGAGTGCTTCTTGACCCAATTCATAAAATGTCACTTCTTCCAGAAATGTATCTAGTGGCACAAATTCTGGTCGCCTCAAACGTCCGTTTGACTGATAATAGTAGAGGATTGATTCAAAACAAAGACGATGACGATCGAAAAAATATTCATTAGTATTTTTGTCATAATAACGTTTTCGCTTTTTAGTATTTCCCAATAAAGTATTTGGGTACAATTCCAAAGTTGACTTGTGTGTTTCAAAGCGTCGCCCACTAACATTGATGACGATGCGTCCACGACCATCTTCGCCGTTGAGTAGACGATTTTCGCTCTTTTGCCGACGTAAGTCGATAAAACTTTGAATATGCATAATATCTTCTCTATAAAAGATTAGGTAATTATCTATTAAATGAATAGCTGGTGTACAAAGTTCATTGCATAGCTACAAGAAACTTGCTACTACAAGACATATCACTGTTAATATAGCAATTTTAGCACAGAGATTGCCTCTGCTTTTACGAAATGGTTATTAAAAGTAACTTGAAATTCATGCCACTGCTGTGTTCAAAAGCAAGCTAGAATTCGCTAAGGAGTAACATGCCTCAGGAAATAGCATTTATAGGCGATATTAGGTGGACGGATAAAATAGGAAATTGTTCCTACACAATCGATTTTTTTCGATGGAAAACGTATCAGGATGATCGTTGGATGAGATTCTACCACTTAGTTTCTTAAAATCTTGATATGAGATTTTTGATGCCTGTGCACAGAAGTTTTCTTATATGTTCGTAAAACCACATAAATTATATGCAGTTTTAATGCTGATCACGAATATCAATATCATCGATAGCAAGAAGCATTCTAAACATATTAAAAGTAGTTAAAATATGCAGAAATATTTGCACTTTCAGAATATGTTCTATAAAATATTTGAGTTCATGTTAAACGGTTAAAAATTTGAAATAGATTCTACAATTTGGATTAGCTTCGTAGTTTTTTTTCACTAGACTAAAGTGTACATTTGAACTAGAATGAGATTTATGCCGTTAAACAATTTTTTCGCTCAAATAAAGGTCATATTTTCAAAAGAAAAAATACGATTTTTATAAATCATAAAATATTCTCATAAATAGACAAAAACTAGTATTTTGACAATTTTTACTGACATTTTTAATTTTCGTTTATCACATTTAGACAACTTTGATTTTTCGACCTCAAGTCTCAGCCTAAAACTGAAAATATTTTAGTTGTGAAAACAACTCTTTCGAGTCTTTTCATTCTCATCTTAGGCTTCTACAGGATGGACTTGTTATAAAATCGGCTCGTTTAACATTAGAACGCCCGGAAATTTTCATGACCTAGAACGTCATTTTGACCGTTACTGTCTTTTTAAAAATTTTATACTTAAAAATGGTTCTGAATTCAAAAATGAATTAAAAATTCTGCAAAAAATAATTTTTGTGGGACAAATTAAAAGTTATGAC